ACACGAGAGACGTGCCCGCCGGCCACGTCGTGCGGGCCCCCCCCCCCCCCCCCCCCCCCCGCTTTCCTAAGCTTATTAAAAATATATATATATTGACAAAGATGTGGTACATGGGTAAGCCCAAGGTTTGTTTTAGCCCTGAAGAGAGCAGCCTGGGATCCTGCTGCCTTTGGTAGTGACCCTTCTCTCCCCTGTTTAGAGGGGTGGGGGTGTTTTTGGGGGGGGGTTTAGGGTTTTTTTTGTTTTAAACCTGTGAAGGAACAGTGCCTTTACTAAATACAGATTCATTGCCTGGGTCTGATGCAGATCTTTGTGAATTACCTCTGCCAAGGCTCTGCGTTCCCTTTTTCCCTACCATGTAAGAACATTATGTGTAATTATTACCCCGAACGCTGTAGTGTAAGAAACACAGGACTAAAATTCCTGCCATTCTTCTGCTACCGAAGACAACCACACCATTTATTCCCTTTCCTAAACTGATTACCTCCTATCTTAAAGTAAGAAGGACTTTTACTGTCACGGGACTTCTCACCACTACACGATGCAGCTTCTAGAGATTAAAACCAGAAGCCATGTAATTGCTCCTTAAGACTGCTGCATCTGTGCAGGACCACCATTAGTGTTTGCCTTCCTTTTAGCTTCTCCATTCTTCTGACCATCCCAGAAGCAGGCTGCTGGACCATTTCCAGCTTGAATTCATTTCTCTGGGCTATTGGCAGCTGGAAATCTGGAGGCATTTTGGTAGTATCATGAACCCATTCCCACCCTTGCAATAAATACCTCACTAATACACCTCAAGGTCCCATTTCTCTTTTTTATCTGCATTTACACAGTAACTTAGCCTCTATAGCAGTAACAGCTGATGGCTTCCCCACTTGAAAATATTTATTTGCTGTGAAAAACAAAATTTGCCATCAAATTGCACTTTACAGGCTCTTAAGTTTCCTTCCAGGTCTACTGCTGGAGCGTTCAAATGATACACCTTTTTCTGGACGATATTTCATCCTTACAATGACTATACTTCTTGGCTTCACCACGCTAACAACTTTGCAGCTTTTGTCTGTGCTTTGTCCAAACATCGTTTGTATCCCTTTCATCGTTTGCCAGGAAAAACAGTGCGCTCGTAGAGTCCTATGCACATTACTGCTTACAATCAATAATACAAGCTGCATGTTTTCTCTGAAAAAGAATTCATTTGCCTTTGTGCATTAACACAGTTGCACTGAAGCCAGAGATTTTTCCAGTCGCTGTTGGTATGCAACACCTTAAATATTTCCTGGTGAAGGAGCAATTTTCTACCTGGACAGCTGAAGCCTACAGACAGCTTGAGTCATCTTCTACCTCTGGGGGACAGGAGGGCATATTGCAAGCCTTTTAATTGTGCAAAGAACACGACCACCCTTTTTCCTTACTATCTGGAGTAAGAAATAGCTCTGGTTCACACCAGGAGCAATTCATACCCCTCTGCCTACAAACGCCATTGAAGTTCACAGATCTGCCTAAAAACCCTAGGAGGCATCTTTGCAGCCACTGCTCCTTCAGCAGCCCTGCTCATGCTGAGAAGAAACTGTCTGGGGGTTTTTTTGAGACACAACAGCAGCAAGACTTCTTAGCAGACAAAAACAGCTCTTCCAAATGCAAAAAGTCAGCATTTGCAATGTGGGAAAAAAGGAAAAAAAAACAAACCCCAAACTTACTGGAGGCACAGAGCTTCACTGAGGATTTAATTACATCCACCAGTCATGCTCTTAGCAGGATCCAGGTTTTTCAGAAGTTAGTTAACAGCATTTACATTGGTGGCTGCGGCTGCTGCTGCTCCTCTTGCTCTACTTCCTCCTCAATCACCCCAGGCTGCTGTGCTGCTGAGATTTTTACAGCTCAAACTTGCACCAGCTGTTGCAGTTTCAGCCTCCCATCGCCAAGGGAATGCCTCTGCTTGCGTGTGCTGGCTTCTGCATATGCTCAGAGCAAAGATGTTGCCTACAGAAATGAAGACTTTTCACTTAAAAAAGTATTACAGACATAGGCCTTAAGCATACCCATAGGTTGAACCTCAGACAATGTTCCTCCAGCCATTGCCCTGGCAAAGCAATTTCTGACTGCAAAGCTCTCTTTGCAGACTATCCTTTCCACTAGCAGCCCCTTGCCAGCCCATTTGTATCTTGCTGGCCCACCTGTTGCACTTCCAGGGACTTGTGTGTTCTCCTACATGGTTCGTCCAACCCTAGTCTCTGATGAGTCGCTACTTGCAGTGACATCTCAGGCAAAAGATCCCATAGAAACGAGTGTCCCTCAAGGAGATCTGCCATCAGGGAGCTGTCTCTTCCTCCCTAGCTTCAAGAAGTTGTGCATCTTTTAGGGCATAGCTGGAATACAGCAATCTTTCCACTAACCAGCGCCTTCTCTTGCTATTTGAGAAGCTCAACCAAAATAGATGGCCTGGCTTATTTCTATCCTGTGTGGTGTCAACCTCTGCAGGAGGTGAACCCTGTGGTCTGAGGTTCATGCCGGGAAGTCAAATACTGTCAATATCTGAAGGGACAGGAAGATGTTCAGAACAATAATAGCTTCTCTGCAGCGATTTTCATGGGCACAGAAAATGCAATTGCTCTCATGTGGCATTTTGAGCTCTGTGCACAAACCTGCAGCCTGAGCCTTGGTCGAACCAGATACTCCATGTGCTGCTGGCAACCCAAGTTGTGCAGTGCACCTCTGAGCTCCTGTAAGCTAATGACTTTAGTCATCAATGCCCCATCCTCTCCTAACCTTTCCACCTCCTAGTCTACAGGTGTTTCTGTATCCTTTTAAATGGCAGACAGTGTGTTAGTAGAGACAAAAAGTTTAATACTTATGCAACAGGGGAAGATTACTACAGGAATACTACTCTGATATTTGTCTTTCCTGTACTTGTAAAACACAATTTAGAGTGGACACTTCTATCTCTGCAGCAGATACAGGGTAACGTTGAAAAATAAGTTAAAAAGAATTCTGGTTTAACTTGAAAGGCAGGAAAGCAGAGCTAAGAAAGACTCAGAAAATCTGTATTTAAATCTGTAGTTTTTTCTTCTATCCCTCTACTCCAATCCCAACACACTTCCACATACTGGAGTTCAGAGATGCTCCACGTAAAGGAATCACGGCACACGCCCTGGCTTCACAGCAGACCTAACTTTGCGATATGAGTGGGTGCATTTTGCGGGGGGGTTGTTATTGGAATATTTGGGAGTTAGATCAGTATTAGAAAAAGTCTCCAGAGCTGAATAACATTCCATTCTCTGTCTAAATAAACAAGCATGGGTAACAGGTTTTTTTTGGTTTTGTTTTTTTTTTTTTTAATAAGGAATGTTGTCAGTCCTATTTTATTATGCGTAATAGAAGGAGGTGAAAAAAATCAATATAAGCACTGTATCTAACCTATTTAAAACTACAATCACAATGTTATCTGAATGCCTTACAACATTGTTTAAATCCAACAAGTAGACAAGAAAACAACAAATCTATGCAGGGTTTTTTATACATATGGTGAGAAAGTTTGCAAAGTGTTAAAATATATTTTCTGTTCTGTATGTTTCTGGTACAAGGAAGTGATGTGTAGAATACTGTATATTTATGAACAGAGCCTTGACTTATACAAGCAATAATCGACTTCAAAACATACAATGTATATCTTAAAATATCCCCTAGAGCTGCTCATATAAAGTCAAATCCAGCACCTACTAAAGTTCAGCCAGCTGACTCTCTGACTCCAGTGGGCACTTGATTAAGCCCATGATAATTGTGAAGTACCTGACAGTCTAATTGTATTCATATGAAAAAAATCACATTGCATAGATTTAAACAGGAAGACATGCAATAACAAGACAAGTCACAGTATAGCAAAACCTTGTTTCTTTGGTGAAACAGAAGCAGATATAAAAGTTACAAAGATTTTAGACTTTCATTCACAAAAAACCAGACATTCACATTATACACTATACAAGATAATAATATAAATAGAGAAAAGTATTATGTGCATTGTTTGGGGGTGAGGGGTGGGGAATGAACCGGCCAACACAGTGACGCACTGCCACGTTGGACACACAAAGATTGGGTACGCTCGATGGAGCAGTCGCTGCAATTTCTTAAGAGATGTTCTCTGGAACCGTAATTACTGTTCCCAATGAGCTATGGCAAGGTCACTCCATGGGCAGCTCTGCCTAGTACAAACTCTTACATGTTGGCTGGGTTTCAATTCTTTTCCTTTCCCTTTCAACTTTTTGCATCATATCCCCACACTAACACAAAGGCGTAAACCTCCCGTCTGTGTTTGTATTTGTAATGTTATTTTAAAAGGTATGTTATAGGGAACTTACTGTTCTTTATTTTCACTTTTGTTTTGTTGTTTGGGTTTTTTTTGTCCTGTGCCCAAAGGTGTGCAAGGCACTTTGCAGAAATAACAGTCCTTTCTGTGGAGAGGTCGTTTCAAACGTTACCTTCTACACTTACTGTACACATCCAGGTCAGTCATCGAGCTGACCAGGGTAAGAAATCATAATAGAAAACTCCTACGTACACACGGCACCAACTACAACCTATAATCTCTTTGTGCACACACTTCTTTCTAGAAAGCCAAGATTCTGATTCTTCTGTAAGTCACACGGTTCTCACCCATCTAACCGCAAACAAATGATCCTGTTTAGCAGGAATTTTGTTCTCCAGGGAAATAGCAGTTGAACTGAAAGATGGTTCCAAAAGTGGAGCTCAGGGGCTAATACTGCACTGGCGAGCTCTTTCAATCTTCTTTGCATGGGTAAAATAACATCCAATAAATTAAATCAGTATGGCTTACTTCATTTATTTATGTACGCTTCACAGCTGCAGCATTCATACACAAACATTCATTACTTTATAAAAAGATTAAAAAATGGTTATATATACAAAATTATTTACTTTTTTGATTTTTGTTTGTTTTTTACAAAAAAAATCCCCCAAACACCAGGTCTATCTCCATTTTAGAATGCAGAGACCTGTAATATAGACCTTGTGGTTAATGTTGTGAAAGTAATTTTTTTTTTCTTTTTTTTCTTTTTCTTTCTTTCCAAAAAAGTGGCCCTGGTTGATAAAGTTAATGTATTAGCACTTGGATTTTTACAGGCCCTCCTTGTCATACACAACTTCTCCATGCAGTCCTTTCTCATGAATGGTGAAGCTGGAATGGAGAGCAGAAAAAAAGTTCCATATTGCAGTCCCTAGTTCATGCTTCATGCCACTTTTATGTGCTCTGTCTAAACTTTGCATCACATGGACACAAACTGTACCTTGGATGGGAATTGGCACAGTTCCCATTAAAAAAAAAAACAAAACCTCATGTAACTTGTGTGTTTATCTTCACCTGATAATAGCAAATTTCAGTCAGTGAAGTTATTTCAACCATTTCCAGCCTAGGTAAACAACATAAAAACAACGTCATAAATGACTGAAGACCTCTGAGGCCATTCTAACCATAAATATGCCTGAAATTAGTGTGACTTTTCATTTTATATACAGGATTTTAAAAACAACACACAATTAAACAACACTAAAATCATCTTATTTACATTTTCATTGGTGCTAAAATTGAGCTGTTTAAATATTGCAGAAGGCTGGTATATATCATAAAATGGTCCACACCGATGGCATATAGAAAACTAATAATCTTTATAGGCTGGAAATGGTTTCCTTTTATCCCCATAAGCACTTCTCCTTTTTTTTTTTTTAAATTTTCTGATAAACACCATATTTTTGCAAGATGCATTGTGAATACCGCAGTCCATAGTTTCAAAACAATTTGATAATACTCCTATAAGTGATTGTAAAGGCACAGAAAGTTATGACTTTGGCTGAAATGGTGGAAATCCCCATTCACCATTTAGCTCTCAGCGCCTTGAGTCCTGCCACGTCCTGATCCAGCGATGATAGTGCTTTGATGAATTTAACGATGATCCCTTTCCTGATGAAGAATGTTTATAGTAGTATTTCTTAGAGTAAGTCCTTTGGTATGTGGACGCTGCAATGAGAAGGATGAAAAAAGGGAAATTAATTTAAAATTATTTAACTACGAATGGGCTGGCTACACTTCACATTACAGTTCCATTTATTCTTGATTAATTAGAGGGTTAACAAATGATTAACTGGTACTATGACCATGTTACAGACAGGAGAAGCATCTGTTACACACAGTTAGACCACAGTTGCAGAAAGAATTGTTAGTGTTATTAGGAACCTGTTGATTTCAGGGGCTTTGTAAGAGCGTTGTCGTTTACTTTAAAAGAATCTTAGTGGCTTCTGTAAAAACAGAAGAGGAACATTTTCATTAGTTTTGGAGGCCTGATGTATTTTCCTACAGGTAGAGTGAGCAGTATTGCTGTCATAATCTGTCATACCAGATTTGCACTTCTCTTAAAATAGATGTTCATTACTTATTAATCTTAAATTAGTCTATCATTTCTGATCCAGCACTGGTTTGTTTTCAAAGAACTCACGATTCATGCAAGTAATTTTAGGCATATCCCATCTTCCATTCCCTTGACACCGGATAGTTGGAATATGGCGCTGGATGAAACCATCTTTGCAGTGATATCTAATAAGGGAGTTGATCTCATAACGAGGTTTCATCTTCCCAAAGGTCTTTGCGTTTTCCACAACAGGAGGCTGACCACAAGCAACTGAAAGGAAGAGAGAACATAACCCAAAACATCAGTTTGTAAATGCACTTCTGAATATGACCTCTAAACCCTGGCTAAGGGAAGATGTCAAGAGAATTCAGTTAGAATCCCAAGAGAGACATCCAAATAAGGACAGGGAGATCAGTCTTTTCTGTAGTTCTCCAGTCTTGTAGACCAAATACAGTAATGATAAAAATTGGAAAACAGCAGACAGTATGGTTAGTATTGCCTTTTTCATTTAAATTTCTGACATAAATTTGAGCCAAAATGGTTGGCATACTCACACAAAGAAGTGATTTTCACTGGAAAGCTGCAAAACCTGAAAACCAGTGACATTATTACAGGCATTTAAGAAAAAAGTCTCATTTTCAATACTTTTTATGTCTTCCTCAACAATAGACTATTTAAAAGCACTTAAAACTGATGGATCTGTCAAGGCCCAGACAACATGTTAACAAAAAGTTGTAAATGCTAATTGGGAACAAAGGAGCACACACAAGATTTTGGCTGCTTCTTAACTTTCCTAGTCTGAAAAGGCAGAGGCAATTCCTAAAGTATTGCTGTACAGCTCCTGGTAACAGTGAGGTTTCCTGTAAGTATCAGCTCTAACAGTGTACAAACCAGAGTGCTTTTCAGATTCCAGCCGTGCCATTAAACTGGATGGTTTTGGAAAAGAGGAAGACAAAGGTCAGCATTACTTGATGGGTGAAAAGTATGCTCAACGGGAGCTGAAAAGCTAACCACATACCAGTGGTCAGCTGCCTGCCCTGACTGCCTACCAATGTTCTGCTGCCCACATACTTTACAGTGATGCCGTCCCAGGAAAGAAGAGTTGGTAATATTTTAATGGTATGCAAGCAAAGCGGGCCTGCCAGGTACATGAATGCCTCTTTTGCTGAGATCTGTACCTAAGAAGAAATTTGCCTGGTTTTAACCAAGAGTTTCAACTGTGTACACTCTTGTGCCTGACTCAAGAACAGATTAGGTAGAGATGTAATATGTGGAAACAGATGAAGGATGACTTTGTGAGGCTAACTCAGTTGAGGGCTCACTGTACTGGTCACCAGAAATCAGCTAGAATTGGTCATTTTAACTTTATAAAACTGGAATTCAGAGAATTATGCTATTGTTACTGGAAAGTCTGTACCTGTTCCTTTCTTGCAGGTATAGGTAAGGTGATAATTGCATGGTACATCATTCCACTGCCCATTCTCATGCCATATTATAACAACACAGTCTTCTCCAGCAGAAAAGAAGCTGTCTGGCTGGTTTGGTCGCCAGTTCTCATATTGCTGCAGAAAAGAGGAGCAAAACCATTATTCCCAGTGCTAGAGTATATTTACATTCCATTTTACAGAACACACAATATTATCTTTGGTGAAGAGCAATCTCAATTGTTTGATTCAGGCTGTTAAGCACGAAATAAACAAAGCTAGATTTAGAATATCCTCCCACTCCCACTATTATTGAGATAATAACAGATTATCTCAATGGAAAAAAATATTCCAATCTAACTTCTCACTTACTGTAAACTGATGTCAGGTGAACAAAACAAAGTGACATAATTCAGCGCAAGTAAAATCTGATCCCAAGTGTGCTGAAATACACTCTCTCCTACACAGACAGACTTGAAGTAGAATACCAGGGAATGCAGTAAATAGCCCATAACCCTTGTTAGTCCACGTCTACTAAACGGCAAATTACAGGCTAGCTTCTCAGACTCAAATTATTTATTTAATGAAGTCATTCAATGGGACGACGTGCAGAATTAGGTGTAAAATAAGTAAAAGTGTCATAATGTGCCCCCAGATCATTGCAGATTGATATTTCCATTAAAAAGGCCTAGGTGGCAGACTAAGCATATAGAGCAGCCTTTCAGCTTTACAAATGATGATCCAGATTCTGCCCTCTAGAAAAACTAACTCCAGACATCTATTAATATATATGAATAAAACCAGAAACTGGCACACTAGTTTTAGAAGTAGAAATCTGATTGTTGGTATAAAAAAAAAAAAAAAAAAAAAAGAACCTTCAAATGGCTGAAAAATATCTTTAGCATAAAAAAAAACCCAGTTTCTTAGCCCTGCACCTGGGACACACATCTGGCATATCAATTTGGGCAGGCTCTGTTCTTTGGGATCCAAGCTGGCTATATGCGGGTCTGCACTTATTTAGCTACACAGCTCTTCAGCTTTCAGCTCTGCATCTACCTAAAGATTTGTCCCTACCAAGAGCTGAGGATGCTGGCTGCTGGCAGGCTGTGCACGGCTCCATGCATAGCCTAAACCTGCATAAACCCTGAGAGCAGCCCTGCCGAGGACTTGGGGGTACTGGGGGATGGAAAGCTGGACATGAGCCGGCGATGTGCGCTCCCAGCCCAGAAGGCCAAGCGTATCCTGGGCTGCATCAAAAGCAGCGTGGCCAGCAGGTCGAGGGAGGGGATTCTGCCCCTCTACTCTGCTCTGGTGAGACCCCACCTGGAGCACTGCGTCCAGCTCTGGAGCCCTCAGCATAAGAAAGACACGGACCTGTTGGAGCGGGTCCAGAAGAGGGCCACAAAAATGACCAGGGGGCTGGAACACCTCTCCTATGAAGAAAGGCTGAGAGAGTTGGGGTTGTTCAGCCTGCAGAAGAGAAGGCTTCGGGGAGACCTTACTGCAGCCTATCAGTACTTAAAAGGGGCTTATAAAACAGATGGGGACAAACTCTTTAGCAGGGCCTGTTGTGACAGGACAAGGGGAATGGCTTTACACTAAAGCGGGGTAGATATAGACCAGATACAAGGAAGACATTTTTTACACTGAGGGTGGTGAAGCACTGGCACAGGTTGCCCAGAGAGGTGGTGGATGCCCCATCCCTGGCAACATTCCAGGTCAGGTTGGACGGGGCTCTGAGCAACCTGATCTAGTTGAAGATGTCCCTGCCCATGGCAGGGGGGTTGGACTAGATGACCTTTCGAGGTCCCTTCCAACCCAAACCATTTTATGATTCTATGATTTATTCCACTGTAGAATGCACTCTTTCAAGCATGGCTTGAAAGCTCATCATTGCACAATGTCATTTTTGGATGAAAATTAGGGAGAATTCAGTTTGCTTTTTCAATCGATAAGCAGGAAAAATAGAAACAAAGGGAGTGTCACACCGATTGAAAATCTATGCAGTAGTCCTTGGTAGGGGACATACAGCCTACTGTTCTTGCAGTCAGCAGAGGTGGGATAATCTTCATCCCACTTCTTGTTTCATCTTGATCCCAAATGAAGCACAGTAATTTGAGATTTGTATAATATTATGTAAAGAAAAGTGAGAGAAGATTTGGGAAACTATTCTTAGCGATTTTCTTTGGGATTTCTCTTGTGTCACTCCAAGAAGAATTTAATGAAGGTTAAAAATAGATATCTGAAAGAACTGGAATTCACATAAATGCCAGACATTAACCAGGCAGCTAGCCCCTTGTATGGTCAAAATGACACAGTTTCTACAGTGCTTATATTTTCCTCAGTGCTTACATCTTTCTGGCTAGACCTGGCCCATATAAATGTCATAAAAGTTTAGCTTTCTATTTTCTTAACTTTATGAAATAACGACTATTCACTGCCTGGGCAAACACATTTTAGAAATAAAGTTAACATACCTCACACGAGTAGTATTTACGTTACAATGAATCAAACTATGAAAAAACTGAGTTAAATACTTAACCTTTTCCTACCATGTGTCATCTTACCCATCATAGGTTTTAATTATCCAAGCAATTTAACAATCATGGTCTAAATAAATTTGTTCTGCACTGAATTTATTACCTCTAATAAAACATCCCCCTTTTTATGCAGAACTAACTTAATTCCATCTCTACATTTCAGTGTTTAATAGTCCTAAACTACAATACACACTAACTCATTTACTCAAGTCTAGAATTCAGCATTTCACATCAACTTATAAATCAGAGTATCACAGTAGCCAAATACCATACATATGAGTCAAATGGGATCTGAGGTGTAGGGGGCTTCCTGCAACACCTAGTGCAAAAAAGAAAAGCAAGCTTTGTGCGTATCTCCTGAGCCAGTGAGAAGAAAAACAGGGAGGAAGGAATATGCCTGTGCACAGTGTGTATTAACATAACTTAGAGTGCTCTAAGACCCCTTTTCCAAAAGGGTATTTTGGAATGGCCTCTGAGTCAAATGTCTAGCACGTTTTTACAGCAGAGCTGGTTAAGGATGCAGGAATCTGATCAGGAAAGGTCATGTTACCACAACATAGAAAGCTACTGCCTGCTAAACCAGGGATAGCTGAGTGCATGCACACACTGAAGGCTTAGGCTTGCCGATGGTACTGTCCCAGATACCTGCTCCATCTCTTCTACATGGGGGGCTGTGATGCACCTTCAGGAGCACCACAGAGTATAAGGCATTGAAGGAAAATTGGCGTAGGTTTTACTCGCGCTGCAAGGAAGTCTGTCTGAGTGTTGTGGAGGTGGGGTAAGCAGAAAGAAGTGATCACCTCTCACTTTCACCTCTGAATGTCTTAACTACCCAACCCAACTGAAAAGTAAGATTTGCTCATGTAAGTCACAAGTGTATGCATGGTTGATTACACTGCTCAGATGATGGGCAGCAACTTCTCAAGCTGAGGCAATCCAATCTCTTTCAAGAATATGCCCAGACATATGGACACATAGAAAAACTAAAGAAAACAGCCAGACTAGTGGTAGAAAAGTTTGATCAATAACGTCCTGACAGCAAAGGAAAGACTTCAACAAGCCTTGCAGCTGTTTCTTGTGGAAATGATACTAGAGAGCTGTTTGCTTCCATAGGGATCAGAGTGTGGGAATGAAGGATGTTTAATGGCTATTGGAGGCGTGTGAGCTGAAGGTGCTCAGCAGCTTGCCAGCTCCCACCCTAAGCACATAGACTCCATATGCTCTTACTTGCCTTGCCATAATGACTCTAAAATTTGTGTTTGCTTTGCTGGCAGGGCTGCAGTGTAAGGCAAAGGATTATATCTAGGCCTTGTGGTTTCTTCAAGAATGTCTGATATCCTCCAGCATGACTTGCTGTTACCTCACATCTGATATCGTCATTGCACGGATTTATTTTGGCTGAATAACTATGATTTTGCTTGGGTTTAGTGCCAGAATTGCTTAGCAGAGGAAGTTCCAGACTGCTGAATTGCTTTCTTAGGTCTCCACCCAGCTCTTCTGTAGTTTTTCAGTTCCTTATTTAGCCACTGATAATGGGATAATGATACAAAAAGATTCTCACAGTTTGAGTGGAATAAGTTGCTAGACAAATAAACTAATATTTTGCTTTCCTTTTATGGATTACATTTTTGTATGACCATGAGCATGATTCTGGTTTTCACTTACACTAGTTTAAATCAGATGTGACTGCACTATCTCCAGTAAACCTACATCAGCAAAAAATTAATGGGAAAGAACCAAATCCCGTAAGTCACATACTGATTTGTACTGTTTCTTTTCAAAGGTATCCCTTACAATCTCCCATACCAAGTGTGCTAAGTGTAAAGACTCTCCTACCCTTGCACTAAGTGCAGTAAGCGTCTAAGATACTCATGTCATAATTATTCTGTTGGGAAACACTGCTCAAAATATCCTGAACAAGATGCCCTTTCTGAGGTGGCTATGTCCTTGTATTTCAATGCATTACTGTATTTCAGAAAAGTATATTGTACAAAAAGAAAAAAAAAATTCACTTCATTCCTTGGCAACATGTACCATTCAGATTTGTTTGGTTTTTAAGATCCCGTCCAAAAAAGTTCAGCCATATTCACAGACGAGCCAAAAACTGCTGGCGTTGTTCCAGCCATCCTGCTGCTAGGTTATATCTTCATGTAAACTGTTATTGTCTCAGCAGACCAATGAAACCACACTAAGGAGCGCTGTGTTTTTGAATTGATAAAGCACAAGGCATCCTTTTGCCAACAACCAAGCTTCAATCGACACCTTTAGCAATACTCTTAGCTGTATCATTCATAAGCTATGACTTATGTGTCCGAAAACCTAAATAGATTCAAATGCTGAGTTAATACATAGAAGAAAAGCTGCTACGACCCTTTTAGTCCTCAGCAGAAATACTTACACTGGGTGATCGCGCAGAGGGATCTAAAAACTATCACTACCCTGTTTTTTAAGCAATGTTACCATAACACATGTGAAGTTTTCCCCTGCATTAAAATGCAAAGCACTTCCAGACTGTACATTTTAGGACATATAATCTTAATTATGTACATGACTCAAAATGTACTTCAAAGGAGGTTTGGCCCACTACACTTTTCTCCT